AAATAAATAATATACCCATGCATATTTTGTTATTAAAAATCAACACCTCTACAGTAACATGGTTGTCATATTACCAAGATACATTTTACTCGGTTATATAATTATATAAAATTTGGTATATAGTTTTTTTTTTTTCTATAGTATATTAATTTTATTTTTAATCCACAGCCTATACGGTTTGTAAATTACAATAATCATCCAGTGGGTATTTTATGATATTAATGAATTAATGAATTAATTAAATAAACATTGCGTATGCTCCTCTTCAACCGTTGATGTCAGCTTGTCGGGTATTTTATTTTCCACTCACTTTATAATTCAATAACAGTTATCATACAGTACATATTATAATAACAATTATTTAACGTAACGTTATTATTTTATTACTTTTTATCGTAGTAATTATCAAAAAAAAAAAAAAAAAAAATGGCTCCGTAATATACTACCCTACTGTGCCTATATATTGTGTAGCCAGAGTGGATTTAAACTTATATTCGTTTATATTACACACGCGACGTATTAGATAATATTATATCGCGACTATTCGGTCGAGTTCTGCACGAAAGATTATTTATCAAACTTAAAACGTTTCCGTCTCCAATTCGATATCTTTTAATTAAATCTTTCCCGAATGATCGACATTTGTGGTTTTGGCTTGCAATTAAAGTATTGCGTTGCTGTCGTAGGATCGCTAATAAATTAGTACCACGTATACATATATATTTGAAATTTTCCGGGGATCACCGCAAAGTTACATCCGGTCTGTCGCAGAGTAAGAAGAATATACGTGATATCACCCATTGTTCTCTCCGACGCGGTTAGGCATTTTGGACTTGTAAGTTAAGCTAACCCGATATAAGTTTACGCAACCATATTTCGCATCTAGATTGACTTAAATTCGGTGAACTTTGTTGTTGGTTGCCTTTGTCACTAAATATATAATACTAAACTAATTAATGTATTGATCAAACAATATAATATTACTTCTATGTATATATAGATATCGCTCTTATGTCGTACATTCTGCGAATTCTCTAATCATGTTTTAAAATAAATGATCAAACGATTTCCGAAAAGTGAACCGTACATGTAAAACACGAAAACATTTTGCATCCTCCGCCTTTTGATTTTTACTTTCATACAACATAAATGGTTTATTTCTCTAGAGAACTCGCCTATAGGTATGCTAGGAAGTTGTGTACTTTTGTAATCACTTTTATTATTTCCCACGAAATTTATTGTTTTAATCCACCCGTGATATTAGTGCGAGCTTATGTTCAAACTTTCCTGGGTAATCCCCGCCATTCGGATAAAGCCTAGTAGTCGATGTCGTGCCTTGTTACAAAATTAAATCCTATTAAATGTATAACATTTTCTCGTACTGCGCGCGTCTACTTATCATGAGCTTGTATAATCTTTGCTAAATAAAAAATAATCAATTTATTTCTTGACAACAGGAAAAAAAAAATGAAAATTCCCTATGACGACTAACTATAGACAGTTAGTAGACACTACAAAACGGGCAGTGCGATAGCCGTGTAGTGAAATTGMCTATACAAGACGCCGTGTCACCATAATTATTATAATATTATGTATAATCATATATCGAACAATTTACGATCCAAGCAATAAGCAATGAAATTAAACGTAAAATACAACGTAAGATTTTTATGTTTATAGATCATTCACTACACCTGAAGAGAGACTAAATATTGTGTACAACGATGGGAACGACGAGAACTTTTGATTTGTATATTTTTTCCTTTCTTTACAGTGTCACGCGTGTTAATTTTTTGTGAAACAGTGTACATRATACTATAATACAACATGATACCTAAAAATGCWTGCMCGTGTACAGAAAATTCGTATAAAAAATTCAGTGTGGTACTTTTGTACTTTGTTTTTAGACCAAAGTCGTATTATATGATTTTGAGCATGAAACGGAACTTGCACATACCGTGTCATAGGAAAGGAACGGGTGGAGTATATGTGGTGGCGTTTTGTTTTACCGAATCGTTTGATGGCGGGAAATCATAACGGACGACAAAAAAAACAATACAAAACACCCACCACCGAACAAGGGTGAAAACAAAGGGTCAGTAGACGATGACGACGACTAAAACGTTGTGTTAATTATTAACGCTAACACGAAGGGTGAAAGGCAAAAAGGGCGCGTTGAATAAATAAATAGTACGATAAAAAAACCACGAAAACACTCAACCCAAGATTAGTCGAAGTCACGTGTTAATTTTTTAGTATTTTTACCCCACGCGCCTATAATGATATTATTACATAGGTCTTTTTTGTTTCAAGTATCTCGGTCTTTATTACGAAAGCGTATCTAAAAGATTCAATTTTGTCGGATTCCCGACCGTTTTTGGACGATTTTCGATTATTTTTTGCTCGTTTATTTTGCCATACGTCTAACATCATGCTTTCCTAAACGATGTGTACAGTTTCTAGTTGTTTTCGCGTAACAATATCATTTCGATGCTCGAGATTCAGACATTTTTTGTTTTAGTTAAATTTTTACCTATTTATTTWTTTTTTGTCGACTTTTACATTGACAATTTCAATGCAATAACAGTAATAATATTCTTAACAATGCTCACCCGAGAGTTGTAGTACGGYGGTAGTATAGCGACTGCGTGTTTGTAAGCCTGCACCGCGTCCGAGTACCTGCCCCGGTCGGCGTGCAGTTTGCCCAACGTTACAAGTGCAGAAACCCTGCTGGTCTCGTGGTTCACAGGGTCTTTGGAATGCGAACCATCCAGCGAACCGCATAACTTCAGCACGGATTCCGCTTCCTCRCACCGGCCCATCGTGGCCAACAGTTGCCCCATGTTTAGGTACGCCACTGCAGAAGACAAACATTGTTAAATATACCTACGTATAATATACATATATATATATATATATATGATTCAATTTAATTCCGTTTATAATATTTATTATGTGGACGAGATGAGGTAATGGTGGTCGTGAGAAGAGGGAAGACGAATATTATTATATTAATGAGGCGGCGTACGTAYAATGGTACTTTTTTTTATTCGAAAGATGAAGAAATTTTRATGGCCAGTGGTCACGTAAGACTTCGATTATCGAATGCACTTTTGAGGAATTTAAATGTTAATTATTTACATGCAATAAAAAAAACTAAAGTCTAATGTAATTGGAACAAAGTGTTACACTTTTGTAAAACAAAAAAAATCATAACTAGATTATGACTACAAGGCATGATCGACTTTTTTGTTAAGTCGACGTCCATCTTCATCATTGTATATACGGCTTCAGGAATATTGTAYAGATGAYKATAWAATAAGCTATATAGGTTAATACAAACATTTATTTATTAGGAATAATAACAATAATAATAAAAAAATTAGAAAAATTGAAATGTGATCAGATGCCATGTATAAATATTTACGATATGTGCACAYTTCTCGCATGTGACATAAAAATAATGTAGCTCACGATATAAAAATAAAWAATAAAATTGAAAATATTTGTATTCAGGTCATTACATGCACCTAAATATATTAATAAATATGTATTTAAATATAATTGATTTTATAATAATTCTTGTCTAATTCAAATCTTTAAATAATTGTCAAATAATTTACTGATGATTAAAAAAATGTTAAGGTTTTGGTTGATATCGACGGATGTTTTGCGATACAAAAATCAGTTGGGTTGTATATGTTGTGATTATTTGATTGTTGAGGATTTGGGTTGATTTGAGTGTAAAGCTATGACCACAATACAGTTGAAAATAATTTATTTTTATCCCATAAACATTCATGTGGGCGCAATTGAGTTATAATTAAAATGTCCCTGCACAATTGAATGTCATCCGCACAATAACCACTGACTATTCACTCATCGCCACMAATCGTTGAACAATAATAATAATATTATTATATTATAAATTATAATCTTGCACCATGCTTGACTGGTTATTACTGAACAGGTATATTGTGACGACGGTGACGATGGCGATAATTCGCAAAGCAAACGGACGCGTGGYGGGAAAACTCGACCTCGCGAGACCTTAAAATAATATTTGGCCGCCTAATAGTAAATCGGATATAAATCCGACCCGTTGCCACGTTTAACAAACAAATGAACGTGACACGGGTGCCTCTATTTACATAAGTACAAGCGAAAGATAACAGCGAATGCGATAATTAACTACGAGAATAATACATTATTATATAATATTACGCTATATGATGGGTTTAAGGGATTATGTCCTCCATACCAGGTTCGTTTCCCTAAACAACCTTTTTTTAATATGTATATATATTTTTTAAACCAATTATCCGATCAGATTGCCGAGTTGCGTCGCTTTTTAATTACAATTTAATATTTATTTTGCTCGTCTTTTGAATTTTTTTTAAATACAATATTTCAAACAATAATCGAATTATTAATCATTATTAAAACACGTTGAACGAATAAGTAGGAAAATAAAGTATTTGCAAGACCTGTAACATTATATTATTTATTTTAATCAAAAACGATCAATCTTTTATTATAGTTTTTTTTTTTAATTTAAATTTTTTGTATATTATTTTAAGTTCACATTGTATTTTACTGCGATGATATAAGTTCTCATGTTTTTTTTACCGAAAAAAATTGTTTATCAACAATAATTAAAAAACAAATAAGTAATACGAATTGAACATTTTTACGCCAAGAATAGCTCAAAACTCTTTTTGAAAATATTCGGTAAAAAAAAAATCATGTACACAGCTACAAGAGTTAGTCAACATAAACAAAAAAACAAAATTGATTTATTGGTCAAAAAAAATTTTTTTATCGATGATTTTGAAAAATACTGGGAATTTTCAAATTTTACCTCTCTCAGATGATCCAACTAAATAATTTTTCTATTAGAAATTGAAAATCAAAGATTATTTAATTTAATACTTAGTTTATATCACCTCATACAATTCCTCTTTATAATATAACGTTCTTGATAACGATGACACAGCACACAAATTCGGTAACTGACATTTTGTTAATTTTATAAAAGATCAAATTTATAAAGTCTACACTGCCCATACTAATTGCAAACTAAACTGACCTCTAGYGGAGAAAATATGAATTTCTTACTCATAAAAATGTGCAAAATGTTTGTGGAAAATATTGACAATGAACGTAAATCGTTTCACCAACATTTGTCACCTTTAGCATATTTGTGCTCTATGCCATCGATAATTTTTGCAGGTATCAAAAAAATAAACAAGTCATCACAAATATGAACCAAGAAATCAGCAGAACGGGATTCCAGGCCGGCGGGTGCGTGTGACATATCGTCGACAAACGGGACTGATGTTATAATTATTAACTATATTGTTTAGTATTAGGTGAAAAAGCGCAGAAGATTTCTGATGTTAATTACTTGCGCCGTGTATATTCGTTTGTAAAGTATTGTGTTTAAATGTTTTTAATGTTTTTCGTTTAAAAACGGTGGCAGCTGAGGAGTAGTATTGTGCAAACAGACCCTTATCTCTGCTGTCGGTTCCAAATCGGAAAAAAAAAGATATAATATGATTTGTGTGGACGACAATACGCTATTTCATAGATACATCGGTTTGAAACACGGTAACCGAACAATGATTATCAGCAGAACTTTGGGGTGACGAAAGCGATTGTTATTAAATCCCGATGAGATAACAATAGTGTCGTATTGAGAGGGACAATCACAGAAATTAATATACCTATAGACGGGTTCGATGACGTTAGTAGTGGTCACTTCCGGTAACATTTTAGGACGCTCGTAGGTAATTTTAGGTTCGTTTCAACACTGGTTGCCAGCTCTTTATTGTATACGCCTGAGCTCAGATACCGCGAGACGTCGTTTAGTAATAAAAAATTTCTCAAGAGGGTAACAAAGCTAAGCAACGGAGTCGGTTGTGCGTACATAATATATGAGTATATGAGCACGCCGTGTGTACATTATTATTATAAAAACAATATAATGCATAGTTACGTGAGTACTTTGTTAGTGCCGTTATTTTCGGTGATAAACATTATATTATAATAATATTATACTTTTGACGTAGAGATGGTCGAAAATATGAAACCCAGAGAGCTGCACACTTGAGGCTTAAGAAGGATTGAAATTGAAAATTGGATAAGTCGTGGATATCGCTCTGCCTTAAAAGTGGGTTACAAGTGGGTTACTGTAATGGATAGAATTAAATTTGAATCCAATGAAATTATATCATTGTATACGAAAAACGATTCTAAGCGGATACGGTTTATCAGTCTAGGATATATTATAGATTATTAAAAATGTTCAAATCTTAGATTTAAAAAGTCGCTCAAATGTTTTGAAAATTTCACCATGTCTAATATAAGCAAACAACCCAATTTTCAAGTTTTTACGAAGGTTTTTAACCGAATTACAACAAAAAACTTCCAAAATTAAAGTGTCTATAAATAGCTCAAAAATGGCTAAAATTTTCCAAGCTTTAAACCGTAAGGAACAAAATCTAAAATTCAACAAAAAAGATCAATTGTCATTTTTCATTTGAAGCAATATTTCTGGTTTCGTACGTTTTTTCTCTTTTAATCGCTTTTATTTCGAGTGACGTTTCGAAAATCAAAATATGACTTCTCYAAAGTACCAGCTCAAGAACATTACATTTCAGGAAAAATGCTACACTTGGTACTTTTGAGCAAGTTTAGAGGGAGAAAAAGTGTTAACAGAAGCAAAAGAAATACACATCATTGTAAAACCAATACATTCCTTACTCCACTCAGAATCAACAATTTGGAACAAACGCAGCCCGACCGTGGTTTCAATACCACTAAAATAAATTAACTTCCGTTTCGCGCACTTTCCATTCATATATTGTCAATATTTTGAAAATAAAAAGTATATACAACGATGCCAATGATGAAACATATTATGACCTATACAGATCACATCGATATATGTGTAATAACGATGCACAATGCACATGTAAAAACCGTACATATTTAAAACGATGACTAGTGGTTGTTCACCGAGATTGGAGRTTATTGTTATTGATATTATCATTAAGGACAATAATATATCGTTTAAGCACTAATGCGCATTTGAGCGTGAATCAGGCTAGACCTTAGATAATATTGTACTATATGGATGGATCCACAGCGTATAATATTAATATTTAAAATGTTGCCAATTATAGCGACGAATTTTTGAATTATATGTTCGATATGTACATGCGCAATATAATTCGTCGCCTATTTATCCTCATTTTATATTGTTATATTTTGACCTTGGGTACGATCTATGGATGATTATGCGACGAAATGGATCGTGCATGCGCATATCGAACACATAAATCAGAGACTCGTCGTTATTATCGGTATCAAAATAATAAGCCTGTAGCTCCATCCATAATATATTATCTAAGGGTCAGTTTGTCTAGTGTGGTTCAAGAGATAAGACTTATACGCGTCAGGCTTCGTGTTATTTACCTATTTTTTTCCATGCCGGTTAGATGATGTTTTTTAGCACAACACTTTTGGAACTAAAACTAAAAAAACTGATCTCTTTATACATATAATATATATGTATATATATAAATATACTAAAATGACAGTTCACGGTACAAAATGATGACTTTTGCCGGTCACCCGTGCGTCCACCCTGAAACTATATGTATACAATACATAATATATTAACAACGACAATCTTATTTATTTGAAAGATTAGACGACCGCGCTACTGAGCGGAGAAAGAAAGAGAATAAAAATAAATAACCCTGGGCGTGTGATTCATAATTGCAAACCTTTTTCGAGGTGAACACGAGTCAATAATATATATAATAATACATAYATATATATATAYWYWTA